TTAAGCTCAGCCTACACAGACGCAGACTGGAGCACCTCCCACTCTTTGGATGATCCTCGCAGTTCGACTAGAAATGGCGTGTCAGGTAAGACCAACGCCCAGTCTCCTGATAGCACCTCCATGCTCTGGACACTACGTTGACAGACACAGCAAACCTTCTTGCCACAGCTCGCATTGATGTGCCATCCTGGAAGAGCTGTACTACCTTAGCCACTTGTGTGGGTTTTAGATTCTGTCTCTGCTTTCCACTTGTTGTCTATTCCATTTGCACAACAGCATGTGAAATTGATTGTCAATCAGTGTTGCTACCTAAGTGGAGAGTTTGATTTCACACAAGTGTGATTGACTTGGAGTTACATTGTGTTGTTTAAGTGTTCCCTTTATTTTTTTGAGCAGTGTATATATTTTAAGAGCCAGTTTGTTATAATGGTTAAGGCATCAGGCTAGAAACCTAGAGACCACGAGTCTTGCCTTAGACATGAAGTAATTTCCCTTCCTCTCCCATGGTCACTAAAATCTGCAACAGTAAGATTTTTCTACACAGTATTATTTCAGTTCTTATGTTGAGGACAGGGCATATTTGGTAACATAAGTTTGTTTCAATGGCATAGCCATTTTTGCATGCAAAAAGAGGATGATTCAGTTCCAATTTTGCACATCGGCTCTTGTCCACTGTAAAGAAAGTCAGGTAAATCACTTTCTGTTCTTTCAACTAAAAGGACTTGAAGTTGGATGTAAAGGACAGAGGCCATCTATTTGGATAAAGATTAGAAGACAGAAAGTGATTGCCCTCCATACTCAACAAGACAAAGCAAGTTTTGGAATTATAAGAAACTGGTTTTGTGAGTTTAGCTTTGAAATCTGCAAGAGAACAGAACAACACAAATCAGCTGGAAAAAAGCATTATATACTACTTTTTTCAAAGACAAATATATTTCTACACCTTATTTGAGTATAATTGGTTGATCAATATTTGATATTGTAGCACAGCTACCTTATTCATCATCAAGTTGTTATCATGAATTCACATTTTTAAACAGAGTATATCAATATACGCTGATTTTATAGCTGTTGTGTATATTGAAATTTTATAGCTGAAATAGCAAGGCAATCTGACTTTAGATAGGGCAATAAATAAATCGGGATTCTGGTTGCCTGTTTTTCATCTACCATAGCACATTTTATGCAAAGGCTTAAGCTTTCATGAGCTGACTTCATAGCCTAACATGGTACTTTCCTACAATAGATACGGAAATATGTCAAAGATGCTATCCCCATTTCCTCCAATTTTCTGTTTGAGTAAAAGAATGAAAAAAAAATTTCTCCTAGCTTTAAATTTTCTACAAAGTTTCTTTTTTCTTTTTTGTATTTTAGGGTTAAAAAAACTATAATTACCCTGAACTCTTTCTTTAGGTCCCTGTAGTTGAGTTTTGGGCAGAGTTCTGTCGGACAAGGTGTGTTCTCTAGGTCTGATCTGTTCTGTACCAATCCTGATATGTAAATGCTATTGTGTTGTTATTAGTACAGTATGTGGGCAATAATGAAGAAGGACAAGTTCTCAACCCTCAACTATAGCGGTCAAGGTTAAGGAACATACATATTTTGGCAATCCATTTTATATTTGAAATGTTTAAGAACTTAATGTTGAGTATATTTTTTTAGTGTGTTAGTGAAATCTACAAACTCATTATAGATTGTCTTTGACTTACAACCAGCTGCTTAGCTGTTCAAAGTTATGACAGAGACCGTCTCCCAAAAGGTACTCATGATCCGGTTCCAAAGTTCTGACAGTTGTTCCCCCACAGTCAGATGACCACATTTTGGGTGCTTGGCAACTGGGCCACATTTATGGACCTTTTACAACAAAGATTGCAGTCACATTTTACAATATCTTTGCTGAAAACTGTCTCTCAAGTTTAAGGCAAAAATGTCCTGTGGTGAACAATGGATTTATTTAATGACCACAGCTTTCACTTAAAAACTGTAGCGTTTGCTTGATGTCCATCACAAAACATCAAGTTAGTTATGTGGGTGACCTGCTTTATGACTGTCACAATTTATGTCCATGGCTTAATTACAGTTTTACACCAAGGACTATTTTATACCTATTCATTTCAGTTTCTTAGGCTCACTTCCTAAGAAAAATCAGTTCAGAAATGGTTAACTGTCCTAGAGGAGAACAGTAAGCTCAAGAGTCACCAGAAGCTGCAAAAGTTCCTTATTCCAGGGAGCAGATTGGCAAACAAAACACAAACCCATCAAACCAAATTGGCAGAATTAAGATTCAAATAATCCATGAAAGGTCAACTAACCTCTGGCTAACAATAAAAAGCCTCTTGATCTTTTCAGTGCCTGAATGGTTTCCTGGCAAATCCAATGTTGAATACATACGGAAAAGCCTCAAATCTCATAAAACCTTAACTGTCTTAACTGGAAAATAGTTGGTCTCTTGAAAAAAGAAAAGCATTCATTTCACAATTCAATATTATTGAAAGTTTACTTCTTTGAAGTAAAGATACATTCATAGATATATGCCACTGTTATAACTCTTTTGAAGGATTTTTGAGAAATAATTTATGTAACCTTCCATAAGTATCATCCAACAGATGTTATAGAATTATATTACTGAAATGAAATCTTCATTACTAAGATGACTTTTGTTTCTTAAGAAATATAAGGCTATAAAAACAATAAGTTGCAACCATGAGATTTTTTTTACCACCCATAGTGTTATTTAAATTATTAATCTAATTTAATCCTCCTCCCTTGCTTTGTCTTCTTCCTTCACTTCCTTATTAAATACCAAATTATTATTAAATATATATTTTGCATCTTTCAGATAAGAATATAAACAAAAAATAATTAAACCTCTATTTGTTTGGAAAGAGCTTTCTCATACTATGTCTCAGCGAGGAGCTAATTACCTATTTTGTTTTTAAAAAGTTGGTGTCATTTTATATGGTGTTAAAAACATCTTGAATTCTGGAATGCTTGTTTTATCCTATAAGAATTGAAATGCTAATATTAGAACATTACACACATCAAACAAGACAAGAATATTAAATACTATTTGTACCATAGTGTGTAGCAGCGTAATTGGCAGTGAAACCTGATTAAATCTTCATTCATCTGGTGCGAATTTGTCTGAATTAACTTTGTAATTCAGAGCTCAAAGTACTTATAATGTCATTTCTCTTTAAAATTGTCTTGCTACTATGAATAAACTATATTTCCTTAATATCCTTGGGAATAAAAGGAGTTACCTTTTAAAGAGGTTCTTGATTCTGTTCTTAATTTTTAAAAATAGCTTAAACTTAAGCACTTTGAGTTATTTATCTAGTGGTTTAGAATTGTTATCTTGTAAGGAGCTTATAGTTTGTAAACTCAGTTGTGGACACTACTTGATATTTATTTTACCAAGGATGACTAAGGAAGGCATAAGAATACTAAATATCATCTCATTACAAACTCATTATGCTTTTCCACTTTACATAATTGTTTCTTTTTCAATAAAATAATGAGAAAACAAATAAGCATGAAATGAGCAACATAATCACTTGCAAATAATCTGTGCTCATGTTAGTTTTAAATTCAAGCATGGTAATATTTGAGAATTATTACTCAGTACTAATAGTTCTTATTAGCACTATTTTCAAAGTATTTCTGAAAACAATAGAAAAGGTGAAACATTTTAATAGATTTATGCTGCAATTAATAAAATGCAATTAAGATTACTTAGTTTGAGTCATTTTTGTATGTAGGCATTTTGAGGTTATCTTTACCTTTGAATAAGCAACATTTCAATGCTATTATAATAAGAATTTATTAAACTTGTATCTTGACACTCAGAGTTTCACAGCAATCAAACAAAATACAGTAAAATCAGTAAATCATAAAAGATAAAATATGTGTCAGGACTTCACAAAAATTTGAATCAATGTATTCTCCGTTAGACTGCTGCGAGAGCCTCGTGTGAATGTTCCTCATGTCTCCTCATCACGTGACTGAGCCTGCCAAAGCATGATTTTAAGATATCATAATGCCTCTTTTACCTCCAGGAATCTGCCTTCATGAATTTGAAGGATAGGAATAAGTAACTTATGTTTCTTTATGTTATCCTTTATACAGATATATTTTGTGAATTTTATTATAAATCTGATGAAAACCTTCTCAGGGAGGAAGCCTGATTTGAAAACTTATTATTATGAAATGTAATAATATTGTGTTTGTGTGCTACTTATTTTAAAAAGATTTACTTATTTGCAAAAGCAATATGAGATTTCCAGATATTACTATGCTTGAATTATATCCAACATTTTGACTGTATTGTGCATTTCACACCCATTTGCTATTATGGAGATTAATCCAAGCAATTCCAGTAGTATTGCTAAATTCTGTACTCCCACAATACATGCAAACCAATGTGTCTGGTTTGGTAATTAATTTGACTTCTAGTGTTTTAAAAATAGCCCTTCTGTATTATGACTTGCTTTTATGATGATTTTTTTTTCATTTTAAAAGAAAAACACATTGATCTGACCTTAAAAATGCATTTATTATGACGAACATTTTTCGTTGGTTACTAGCTGCGTTATAAGATTGGAAAAAGATGAAGATGAAAGATTCATTTAAATAAACATATACAGTAGAAACAAAAACAAATTACCTAGCTTCCCTACTTTTTCCTTTGTTGTATGTATTGCTTCTTTGCAGCTTGTGCTACTTGTGGACCAATTCACTTGAATGATGAGCCTGATGAGTGTTACTACACATATAATAATAACAATTGAAACAGTAATAAAATACTGATTATATAATCAGGATAATCCATCTCTTTACGTGATCACCAGTTTTTCTTTGTTTGAAGATAGTAGCAAGTTAATACTGTGTCTTAGATTGTGATTACAGAATATGCTTTTTTAGTATTGTTCACAGGAAACCTGCCTCAGTCTGGTACTGTTTACTGACTATACTTTGTGTCTTAATGTATAACATTTATTTATTTACTCTTGCTTTACAGTATCTGGAGAGGACCAAATGTGAACTGTGTTGACAGTACTGGATACACTCCATTGCATCATGCTGCTTTGAATGGGCACAAGTAAGTTTCCTGTGTCTGAAATAACTTTTTAAACAACCAGCCTATTAAAGTAGCTAAAACTAATAAACCCTGTAGCATTTTCCAAACACTTCCTTCAAATACCATAAGTAGTAGAATTCAACTTTCATCAGGATTATATGCAGTGCACTATGCCATATTATTGTCAATGGGTTTATTGAGAGATGTTGATATTTTGGTATTCTAGATGTGACTGCCACCTCCTCTTTGAGCAGGAGACATGAGTCCATGAAAAGCCCCGAGTTGCGGATCAGGTTCCTGTGGGATAGTGTAAGCCCAACCAGACTTAATTAAAGTCCCAAATCTTGAAGCTCTGAAAACCCAAAGCAATTCGGTCCTGCCAGGGTTCAGCTGAAGATTGTTGTCACCATTGAGGCCCCCCACTGCCTCTAGGCACCGCAAGAGAGCAGCAACAGCATCACTTGGATCACCAGGGATGGAGATATAAAATTGAGTATCATAGCATACATGCATGTGCATGCTCATACAGAGTAACTACAGTTTCTCAGTTCATCTTCATCAATTCAGAAAGCTTTTCTTTAAAGAGGAGAGGCAAAAGAATTTTCAAGATTAATTTTCTCATGCTTGTTATACATTGGTTATAGTGGATGACAAATGTTGAAATATAGCTGTTACTTCTGCAGCCCATAGACACTGACAGTTAGGTGACGTATATATTTAATAAATTATTATAATATTTAGCTTACATGATTTAACACAGGTTTTTCTGAAATCCTAAAATGTCTTTAATTACTTTGCTACCCAATTTTAAATCTGTGCATCTATCTCTGTTCTCCACTTTTTTCTCTTAAAGTTTAATCTTATGTCATTAGTCAGTATCTTAATTTCTCAAGTTTATTTTACTGTTCTGTCCTCTATGGCAGGGATCGCCAACCTTTTGGACCTCTGGGACCACCAAACTCATAATTTTAAATCCCATGGATAAGAAACCCTGGGAAAATCCCAAAAAAAGTCTGCAGGAAAATTCCCCACCCTGTTTTCCTACCGATCGATCATTCTTTATTTGGGATCGCAGGATACCGTCTCCAGCTCCATTCTCAGGAGGAGAGAGAGAGAGACTTTTGGTTTCATGCAAGGAAAGCAGCAGAAGCAGCTGTAGTCTTTCTTTCTCTCCCCCCAAAACTCTGCCAGAAATGAGTCTTTGTGAGACTTGTCGTGCCGGCGCGGCCACTTGGAGCAGGATGCCCTGCAGGGTCCCAAAGACTCATTTCTGGTGGAGTTTGGGGGAGAGAAAGAAAGACTTTTGCTGTTTTCCTGGCATGCAGCCAAAAGCAAAAGAAGAAGGAAACGGAAAGAAGCAGCTCGGTGGCCAAGCAAGGCATGTGGGGCAAGTGGGGCAAGTTCCCCCCTCCCCTCACTACCTCGTGTTGTTCACAATGCAAGCAACACAAGCCTTATGTTCCCACGGGCCATATGGGCCGCTCAGCTTTGTGTTCCTGCACAGCCTGGATTAATTGTTTTGTGAGGTGCTTTGGGGGTGACATTTCTGTGAGGATCACCAAAATTTTCTCACGAACCACCAGTGGTCCCCGGCCCACTTGTTGGCGACCACTGTTCTATGCTATCCTAAGCAATGCTATGTGATCTGCACATTTGACAAGCATTCCTGTAGCACCTCATTCAAGTCCCTAATAAAGATGTTGAATACATGGCCAAGGCCTAAATCTTATAGCATCCCACTTAACTTTCACTGTGGTTTTTCTTAATGAATAGCAATTAACAAACACCCAATGTGAGTTTTCAAGCCAGCAGTCTATTCATTTAAATACCCATCTAGCCAGCCAACATGTAACTAGTTTGCTAATCAGAACACTTCGTTCTGTTTTAGCAAATACTTTGCTGAAATGAGAAAATATTGGAACTGCTTTAGTAATTCCCAACTAAAAGTAATACTTTTCATCCTCAATAGGAAAATAGACTTAATGTTACATTTTAATGAAGTTTTCCTCTTTCATGATTTTCCTCTTTTTATGAACATGTGTTGTTCTTTAGGGTTTTTTTTTTTAAACTGAGCTGCAAATTATTTCTCTGGGACTGAAGAGTACAGTTCTTGCCTTTCACATCTATATCTATTCTATACTAGAGAGCTGTTATCAGTATGCTTCTCAGTCCTTACATTGTAAATTTACATTGTAGACTGGGAAGTTGCTCTTTACTGCCATTTAGAGGCTACAAAAATTCTTTTTCTAAAGTAATAAAAAGACAATGCAGCTGTGGATCCTCTATGTCCTTTTATAAACAGTAAGTTCAATGTTTCCTTTTCAGACTTTGTTAAGGTTTACCTCTCATCCACTTAACACTATCATTAGCTAAACTAAAACAGGTTCTCTTAGACATGCTGTTCTTTTTTTGTTTTATCCGATTCTGTTCCCTCCCCAACACATTAGCAGTCTAGAAGAACAGGCTCTACAACTGTTCACTTGCAGCTGTGTAATCAACATAATTTGCAGTTCATTTGCATCTTTGAGAAAGAATGAGCATTTGCTACTTACATGCTTGTTACCCTTTAATTCAAAAAACCAGTGATCTTTGCTGATAATTTCTTTATACAGTTGTTTCTACAAGTAAATACAAGTAAACAAAATATGCTGAAACAGTGAAATCAAAAGCTTTAATAAGGATAAGAAAAGACCATAGGAACCTTTGCAAGTGTGCTATGAAGATTATGTAAAACATCTATTAAAGTGCCTCAAATCTTTCAAAGGTAGTGTCTGTTTGTGCTGATCCTATAGAGATGACTGTGGCTTGGGCTTGTCCAATTATTTGGGCTGAGTTTGATTTGATTACTTCCAAGGAAATGGACAGAGTCCTTAGGTTGATGATTCTGTTATCTACATGTTAGGTTCTATCCCTCCTGATTGGTCAAGGCATCCAGACAGATATAGATAGGTGACATGTAGCTAATTAGTGGAAAATGCTTTTTTATAATACAGGGTGGTCCCATGTCCCCTGAAGAAGACAGTGGTTTGCCCCGTCTCAAGAAGTTACTACTGGACAATTTTCTTCTCAATCTCTAATGTTCCCTTTTTGAGGGAGACTATTGAAGTGGTAGGTCTATAATTTGAAAGGGCTGTAGGGGAAACAAATTATCTGGACCTGATACAATTTGGTTTCAGGCTGGGATACTATACTGAGATGCAATTGATCACACTTGTGGATGACATCTGGTGGGCTCGGAATGGGGATGGTTGTGTCCATTTGACCTCTAATTGGTTTTCAGTACCATCAGTCATGGCATCCTTTGGGACTGGCTGAAATGTTGGAAGTAGGAGATCTTGTTTTTTCAGTAGTTCTCCTTTCTCCAGGGATGGTTCCAGTTGGTGTGTGAGGAGGAGAGATCTGTCTTTAGGCCTCTGCTTTTAGGGTGCTACAGGGCTTAATTATCTCTTCTATTTATCATCTTCATGGAACCTCTATGGGAGGTAATTGTCAACCCATTAGCCAGACCAAGTTAAAAAGATCAACTTCAGAACAAAGCTAAAATTACTTTTCTTGAAATTGGCTGTAATAACATAATCATGCAACTCATTCTGCTAGTTCAATAATTTGGGGAGCTCTGTCTGAGCCATAATATTGAGATACTATCTGTCTGTTGTGGATTGAAAATATGTCTCATACATACCCAGCCCATTGCCTGCGTAGCAGATCATGCATACCTCCATCAAGATTATCTTTCTTACTCTCTACAGCATGGATCTCAATCATACATCTAGGGTCTGGCCCATCCAAGTAGTGCTGGGGAAATGTCTTACTGGGTAGATCTGGCTAGAGAAGATCTGGCTTCAGCCCAACCCCAACAGGACTGAATGCCTGTAGTTTTTTAGGGCTACCCCATATCTGTTGGTTTGCCATATTTAATTCTGGCTACGGTTATACTTTCCTGGTCAGAGCTGGTACATACTGCCTGTCCACTTGGACTCAATGGCAGCATATATAGTAGTTGGCAACTATAGTCTGGAGAGCCTTTGCACAAATGTATTTTATGTGCTGGTTTAACCTTTTCTAGATTAGGAATCATTGCTTATGCCTTTGCTGACTCCCATTTCCAATGTGTTCTACATGGGCTACCTTTTCAAGAGCATTTGAGAACTTCAGCTGGTCCAAAATACAATGGCAGGGGCACGAGGGACAGTACTGGAATAATATATGTATTGGCTTCCAGTGGACTTCTGGTTGAATTTAAAATGCTGATTATCACCTTTAAAGCTCTACATGGCATAGGGGCAAGTTACTTGTGGGACTGCCTATCCCTAATGGTTTCTATTCATCTCTTTAAATCTGGGTCTTCTTGGTGAAACAGTCTTGCCAGGTGGGGCTTTGGAATTGTGCTTTCTCTGTCATGATGTCTGCCTTAAGGAATAGCTTCCTCTTAGAGATATGGATGCCCCAATCCTGCTGGTCTTAAGAAAACAATCAAGACATGGCCCTAAGGTTAGGATGACAATGCATCTGGCATGATATGTTTAATCTATGGATGTGAGTCTTATAGCATTGTCTGTTTTGTTTTAATGGTTCTCAGTGATTGTATTTTTAGTCTTGTTCACCACCCAAAGTTCCTTTAGCTAGACAGGTAGCCATATTAATTTATTAAGAAAATAATCAAATAAATCATATATCTAACTTATACGTGGGAAAAAATGTTCATTCTTGCAAAGTAGGTTTAAAAACTTGTCTGCTTATAGATAGTTTGAATAATAGAATAGAATAGAATTCTTTATTGACCAAGTGTGACTGGACACACAAGGTATTTGTCATTGGTGCAAAAGCTCTCAGTGTACATAAAAACTATAAGTGATAAATCATGATCATAGTCTTCATAAAATGCATAAGATACAACAGTGATAGTCATAGGATGCTTAGTAAGAAATCAACATAAATCATACTAGGAAACTAAAACCAGCATAAACCGTAAAGACACAAGCAACAAAGTTATAGTCATAAGTAGAAAATGAGATAGGTAATAGGAAAGATGAGAATAGTAATACAGCCTTACTAAATAGTTTGACAGTTCCTAACGCTTGATTCTAGGCCCATTTACATAGATACATTTCATCAACTAGATTGAAAGTTATCTCCCAGTTAGTAGATGGCAGTCTTATTTCCTTTTGGTGGATGAACAATAGGTTGTTTTCACTTTCTAGTTCTTAAGGAACCCTGGTGAATATTTGAATTTGAAGATGTTTTCCAAGTAGATGGTATACAAACTGATATTTTTTATTAACACATATATCCAATTTACCATTTGATTTTGATTGTTGTATCCAGAATTCTTCTGAAATTTCATGGCATTATTCTGTCCTCAGGGATGTTGTGGAAGTTCTGTTGAGAAATGATGCATTAACGAATGTGGCTGACTGCAAAGGCTGTTATCCTCTCCATTTGGCAGCTTGGAAGGGAGATGCTGAAATAGTGAAACTGCTAATACACCAGGGACCCTCCCACACTAAAGTAAATGAGCAGGTCTGAATACGTTCCTCTTTTTGTGCTCTTAATGATCTTACAAGGTTTTTTATATTGTTCTATAGGAGGGAGTGAATACAACATCTGTAAGAGTAAATTTGTTCCTTGATATCTTGCTTGAGAAACAGCTGAAGATTAAATACTATTATTATTCAGCAAATTTGAAAAATTGTATCCTGAAAGCTGTATTTTTGGTTGATCAGATTTAGAATTGTAGAAATGAACAATGGCTAAATTGGTTCATATACATTGAGAGGGATTTTAATCATTTTTCCTATACCCCACCCCCATCCTGCACCACAATTTTCTGGACAATTTGAAACTTGATGTAGTTGGTGCATCAGTTTATTTTTTTGGTGAAGCAAATCTAAACAGTTTTATTCTCTTTTTGCCATATTTTGTAGTAAGCTTAATACTACTTTACTACTTAAGCTAATATTGTGCAGTTAACTACAATACAGCTTTCAGATATTAATAATTTACTAAAATGCTATGCTCAAATGGAAGAAAAACAGTAATTGTTTCTATTGTTTAAAATGCTGCCATTTGACTTGTATGATTGAAAACTTTATTGGGTACAAATATAGACAAATACATCTCATAGTGCTAGTATTGATTTGGAGACCAGGTAAACTCTTACAATATTGCTCCAAATTAAACTGGGACTGGTATATTGAAAAACTGAAACATTGGGAATACTAGTAAGTTTTCTCATGAAATTATTTCACTTGCATTTTAGTTGTATGTATGTATTTGTTTATTTATTATGTCAACACTGCTGAATTCCTATTTCCAGAGGTTGAAGTAGCTTACAGAAAGGATCAAAAACTTATATCACATAAAACATTTAACAGACATTAGGTGACACCCATGGAGGTAGGCTAAACCTCCAATTCCGCAAATGCATTTTCTAAAAAATAAAGTTTTCAGAACCCTTTGAAAGGCCACTAATGTTGAGGAACACTGGGTATCCAGCCATAAGTTATACCACAGAAGGGGCATCACCATGAATGAGCCCCCAGGGGTGTCTTGTCTACATAATATTTTTTCTTGTGGGAAGCAAAATTATTATTCGCTTCCAATAGGAAGCATTATCCATATTACACTACTACTTTAGGCCAAATTGCAACCACACTAGGACTGAACAACTTGTTCAGAGTTAAAGTTAAAATTCCATCTCTATAAAAGACCCCTGACTTTGAGGCTAATTATCTGTCTTAACAAGTAGCTTAGCATAATCTCTTACATATATTCAAAGAAGTTCATTTGCTGACTAGTAATATTTTTGTAATTGAATAGCCAAATATATACATTCAAAAGTTTTTAACATTGTTTGGAAATCTTTTTTGTCAGACATTGTTTATTGTGCTTCTTGGAAACAACTCTGTCAATCATTTTAGTGTTAATATTTTAAATTTTATAATGCCATTTGCAATTCTTTAATAAATTGGATGGGGCCATATGAAAATGAAAGATCTTGTAATCTATAGCTAGCATGAGGCCAAATATTTGTAAGAAGTCAAAGTGAAGTGTTTAAATAGGGAACGTAAGATTTTTAGTTGAGTTTTGCATGTTGTCTTTAAAACAATATGCATGATCAACTATTGACAGCTGGAATGGCTAGTTAAATTAATTGCTTTTCATTGGAATGAAATATTGTCATGTTCTATCATTTCTCCCCTTCAGAATCACTCACTGCTTTTTTACTATATCCTGCCATTTCATCATCACATTTTCTTTTCCTCTCCTTTTTGTAGAATGCTCTTGAGATCAAAGAACTCAAAAAGTACGGCCCCTTTGACCCTTATATCAATGCCAAGGTGTGTACTTCGCTGACAGGATTTCACTATATCATTACTTCAAGTTGTATTTTTGTGCTTTCAGAAGCCTTGTCATGTAGTTCATTGATACTGCCTATTTGGGAATGGCCATGGAGGACTGAAAATGCAATTTCTTTAATGGGAAATTTTATTAAACCATGTTTGATTTGGCTGGTTGGTAAAAGTTTACTTGGTGCTTGACAAGGTCTACCAGTGTTTTTGACTTGGTAGATTTGGGGTACTTGCTGATTCCCAAATCAATAATAGCATTCAAAAATATAAATTCAAAACACTCTGGTATTGTTTCTCTATTTAATAAGAAAGGGAATAATACTGATTATGCTTATGGTATACTGTCCAAAAAAGATATGCATTCTTAGCAATATTGAACTTCATTTTGCTAATAGTGATGATGCTACATAACACAAAAGAGAACTCTTTTTGTTAGTGTTTGTATGAGAACAACAGTGCCTTTATTGTCTGTGTGGATGTATTCATGTATCCATCTGTGTGGAAGTATGTACATTTTTTCTTATTTCACTCGTTCCTTGTTCACCTCTGAATGTTTCTTTTACTGAATATGACCTATTCTTCTACTTTTACTAATCATAAGGAAAGCAAATCTTAAAATATTGAAAATCTTAAATTACTTCAAAGATAATCTAATCTAATATTTAGAAATATTTTAAGGGATTCCTTATTATAATAAATATCAAAAGAAATATTTGTTATACATTATTTTTTTAATTTTTAGACCATCACATTGGAGCAGCTTAAATATTGATTTTTAAGGTCAATCAAATTGGGCTCCATGAGTATGGTTTTTAAATATATTAAGATGATCAAAGTTGGAGATAAATAGGGTAAATTAGTTTAAATTACATGCTTTTATAAATTCAGATCACAGTGAATATAGTCTGTAAATGTAGGGTAAACATTAATGTTTGATATGATAAATGATAGTCTTATTAAAATGCATAATGTATAAGTTTTGGTGAGGATTACAGCATCACTCTGCTTTTGCTGAGTTTTTCCTATATGTATATGACAGTTTTAGGACATTAAGGATGTTTCAGAAGCTGACATATTCTGTCTCTGTACTTTGGGGTCTATAAAATAGATCAACCCAATGGCGAATGCTGAAATTGAAGTGCTTAGACATTTAAATCAGAAATTGAATGTTTTTAAAATCACTGTAGAAAACTACCAATTTAAATAACTGATTGAATCGTGAGGTTGTTTTTTATAATTCATATATTTCTTTACAATAACAGTTGAAATATTTTCACCTAAACAAAGGAGTATAATCGCTTTTTCACAATGGATTTTTATTGCAGAATGTGTATCTATATTTAGCTAGGAAATTTATGAAATTTGTGATTTCCTTGGCTATCTCTATACAAGTCAGAACAATAAGCAATATAATTTACTTAAGTGCCAAAACTGGAATCCAAAGAACTCTAAAACTAATTCTCTGTGTCTGAATAGATGTTTTTAAAAATTCTAAACTGCCATTTTTAATTTGTGTGGTTTTTAAAAATATGTACCACAGATTAATAATAATAAGCAGTATCTACTTGTGAATATACCTTAGATTTACAGAAACAAGAAAAAGTAGATACTCTTGGTGATACATTTTTCCATTAAATGAAAAAGAATGTTGTTAGAAGTTATACATTTCTATAAATTATCACACACTATGTGACCTATTATAATATACACCTCATGATAAAGTGTTACAATTATGGTCCACAAAGCATGTGATCATTTAGCTAGAAAAGCAATCTTTAAATGGTACCAAACTGACTAAATGAAGTTAAATTTTAATATAGTAATTATTTCAGGCAAATGTCATTTTTGCTATATGTAGTTTCCCACTGCTTTCTTTACAGTATAGAGTTTGTGCTGCTTTTTATATGATTTCTTAGTTGGTTTTCTTCCTTTCGGGGTGGAAGCAAAAACATGATCAGTAAGCCATCAGTTACTCTGAATATGATCTCAGTATAGTTGTGCTCATAAGTGTACATACCCTGACAGAATTTATGATTTCTTGGCCATTTTTCAGAGAATATGAATGATAACACAAAAACTTTTCTTTCACTCATGGTTAGTGGTTGGCTGAAGCCATTTATTATCAGTCAACTGTGTTTACTCTTTTTAAATCATAATGACAACAGAAACTACCCAAATGACCCAATCAAAAGTTTACACACCCTAGTTCTTAATATGGTGTATTGCCTCCTTTAACATCAATGACAAGTTGAAGTCTTTTGTGGTATGTGTGGATGAGGCTCTTTATCTTCTCATATGATAAAGCTGCCCATTCTGCCTGGCAAAAAGCCTCCAGTTCCTGTAAATTCTTGGGTTGTCTAGCATGAACTGCACATTTGAGATCTCCCCAGTGTGACTCAATGATATTGAAGTCAGGAGACTGAGATGGCCACTCCAGAACCTTCACTTTATTCTTGCCAATGACAGGTTGACTTGGTCTTGTGTTTAGGATCATTGTCATGTTGGAATGTCCAATATGACCCATGCGCAGCTTCCGGGCTGGTGAATGCAAATATTCCTCCAGTATCTTTTGATAACATAATGCATTCATCTTGCCATCAATTCTGACCAAATTTCCTGTGCCTTTGTAGCTCACACATCACCGATCCATCTCCATGTTTCACAGTAGGAATGGTGTACTTTTCATCATAGACCTTGTTGACTCCTCTCCAAATGTAGCATTTATGGTTGTGGCCAAAAAGCTCAATTTTGGTCTCATCACTCCAAATGACTTTATACCAGAAGTTTGAGGCTTGTCTCTGTGCTGTCTGACGTATTGTAAGCGGGATACTTTGTGGCATTTGTGTAGTAATGGCTTTCTTCTGGCGACTCGACCATGCAGCCCATCTTTTTTCCAGTGCCTCCTTATTGTGCATTTTGAAATAGCCAGATCACATGTTTTCAGAGAGCCCTGAATTTATTTGTGGGTTTTTCTTTGCATCCCGAACAATTTTCCTGGCAGTTGTGGCTGAAATTTTAGTTGGTCTACCTGACCGTGGTTTGGTTTCAACAGAACCCTTCATTTTCCACTTCTTGATTAATGTTTGAACACTGCTTATTAGCATTCTCAATTCCCTGGATGTCTTTTTATATCCCTTTCCTATTATATACAGTTCAACTACCTTTTCCCGCAGATCCTTTGACAATTCTTTTGCTTTCCCCATGACTCAGAAGCTAGAAATGTCAGTGCAGCACTGGATGAAAGATGCAAAGGTCTGTCAGGAGTTCAGGAACTCATTGATCTTTTATACACACATACTAATTACAAGCAAACAGATCACTGGTGAGGATGGCTATGTTTAACAGCCGTTCAAACCCCTTTGTGCCAACCTGTGTGCATGTTATCAGACCAAAATCATCAGGGCATGTAAACTTTTGATCCAGGGTCATTTGGGTAGTTTCTGTTGTCATTATGATTTAAAAAGAGTAAACACAGTTGATTGATAATAAATGGCTTCAGCCAACTACTAACCATGAGTGAAAGAAAATATTTTGTGTTATTATTCATATACTCTGAAAAATGGCCAAGAAATCATAAATTCTGCCAGGGTATGTAAACTTATGAGCACAACTGTAAATCAAACCTTAAAATGCCAAAAGTACACAAAAATGCCCCTCGTTTTATTCTCTGTAATCTTTAGTAGAAACACCAGCAACAGCATGGTGAAGATATAGAAAAAGAGTGCATACCTCTGGCTTATTCATTGTTTTGTTTCCGCCAAGCCAAGATCCCTCTGGAAATCTGGAGGAGAGCATTAATGTCTGTTTAAATAAAATATATTTTAAATCTTAAAAATGCTGAAGAGGAAAGTGAGATGAATATGTTTCTACAAGGCCATTTTCTAAGCCTTTTGTAGCTTAGTATTATTTTTAATGAATGAATATTATTAAAATCAAATGTTTTAAACTAATCCAGTCCAAGAAGCATATTCCTCTATAGAGTGAGGCTAGAACCTGGAAGACTGTGAGTTGTCATCCCACCTTAGGTGCCAAGACCATCTGGGGACATTGGGCCAGTTATTTTCTGTCAACTCTAGGAAGTAGGCAATGGCAAATCATTTCTAAAATCTTATCAACAAAACTGCTGGGACTTGTCCAGGCAGTTACCAAGAGTCAATCCTGACTCGAAGACTTGTGCCCACAAACACAGAGGTTTTAGCTACTACTTATAAGGCACACAAAAAACTAGGACAAATGCTTATGAATGTTTAATTTTGTGAGGGCAGGCATTTCAGTATAGGTGAGGAATGATAGTTAAATAGTGGGCTTTGACAAATTGTTAATTAGACATATTTGTGCATTTTCCCAATTGAATTATATATGTACATTTGTTTATAGTTAAAAGGTACTTTGACCTATCAGAAGAAGCCTCACTATACACCAATTACTGAGATTAAATGTATGCATATTCAAAATGACTTAACAGTTTTTCAATACAAAATGCACAAAGTAATCATGATACATAAAAACATTGTATGATCATACCTAAAAATTGTAAAAAAAATTCTAGAGTTAATATAGTTAAATATTACCTCAATTTAAGTTGCTGCTGTATCCTTTTCCTCAACTATTTCTTCATAAAATTTCTTTGGGCTTGCCAATTATGATTAAGGTCTCAGTTTTATGGACTTCTGTTTAATATTTAATGCTTTTACATACAAATTATGAGTTTTGTACTGTACTAATTGCAAATCAAGTATACATTGGCAACTGTTAGTTAATATATCCATGAAAAGCATTCCTTAGTCTTCAAGATAAATGGATCAGTGGGCAAAAGATGAATTGTTTAAGCTGCAGACCACTATTTTGACTTTGAGATGATGCTACCATTTATTTTCTCCTTTTTCTCTTAAGAATTACAGAAATCAATCTCGGGCAATATCAAAAAGGCTTGCTTTTGAGAAATCTCAGTTGGGCTGTAAGGTTTTTACATTAATAGGCTAAAGCTTTTGAAAGAATCGGGGAACACTCCAGCCCATTCTCTTAAAGAGTAGCAATTTCATCCTATTTTCTAATGATTCTTCAGATTTAAGTTATGTCAGATGTGCAGCTATTTGGATGCACAGCTGGATCTGAATAGCTGCACATTGCACTGGTTTTGAAAAGTGGCATCCAAACTATTAGAATAGAATAAATAAAAATAATTATTGCCACAAACTTGAAATCAAACATGGGTTTTATAAGGATTTATAAAATTTTGCATTTCAGAAGTACTTATCTTCAGGCAAATGAATGTTTGATGAAGACAATAAGATATTACTCTTTTTTTTGTAAAATGGTTGGCTTTGTTTCTCCCGCAAGAAAAGCAGCGGTAGGTCTAGTTATTGCTGGGATAACAATGAGTCAGGTAATAGTAAGGTTAGACTGTAGGTTAGACTGTGCAACTGGAAAAAAAATCTTGGACGAGGGCAAATACTTCTGTATTTATAATACTCTGGCCAAAACTCTGTCCCTAGAATTTGAGCCCAATTTAGCCAAGAACTATTTTTAGTCCAGGTGATGTTTTTTCCTCCTGATGTTTACTGATGTGGTACATTATGTATCATTTGTAATATAATGTGGCTAGAAGATACCACAGTTCTTCATTATCTTTCATTAAACCCTACATCTTAATTATAAATCCTGAACCATATGCTTTCTCCTCTAATCATGGTGAGATTCTCTGCATGCTGCTGAATGATGCATTGCCTCATTTAGAATCACCTTCGCTATGAATCTGTTTTTTCTTAGCAAATGTTTGGCTTGAATTGTTTCTTTGCCATTGTTGGAAGTGTCCTCTTCAATTTTTCATATGTTTGTGCATGTCTGTCATTGTTCATAGTAACTTTCATTTATACATTCCATGTATATTTTGTAAAGTAGTCTTGACTACTTCATCTATTTCCTTTCTGCTTCAGCCAGTTTTGTCATGTACCCATGAGACATTGAACATTGTTGATACCGCTAGAACAAAAATAAATCACAAACATACCTCTATTATATTTTGTCCAGTACAGTACAACTTTTAAAGTTCTTATTTGTTTTCTTTTTAACAATTGAAACATTTCTGTTGAAGCCAGGGTTTTGTTTATGTACATTTATCCATTATAATCACATACACAGACACATACACAGACACACACAGACACACTCACATATACCATTTAAATGTTTAAAAGACACAGTTAGGAAAAAAATTGTGTTTATTTACATATCAGCTAGAATCTTAAAGTTCTTAGTTTTACACTTACGATTTAACTCATATACTTAAATGACTTCCCAATATTACTTATGAAGTCAAATTTCAAAAAAGCATTTGGTCACATGAAAGAGCTGTTTCTTAACAGGTAATTAGTTTCCATAAGTTGATAATATTAGTCAGAGTTTCCTGATAGTAGCGGCCCTTTGTATAAAATTAAAATATAATAATAACATAATGTCAGATTAATAAAAGGTTAATTCTCCAGAGAGAAAGAACACAGTCATGAAATACTATATTTATTATCAAGTTGTTGGTTTGCAAAATGTACCTTTGTAGATATTATAGTAACTTCTATTGAATGGATAAGTAATGCTTGGTGAGTTTTTAAAGTGGAGAACATCATAGAGCAGTAGAAGTAATAATCTCAAAATGCAATAATGGATATTTCATCTTTTTTTTCTGTAGCAAATATCTGAATGTGTGCACATATAAAAATGATACCATGATGTACTTATTAAGCATGCATAGTGAAAATAATTTGGAAGAGTTTTAATACTTTATGTTTAAAACAAATGCTCTGTTTATTATAATTGTCTCTAAACTCTAATGGTTTTTATATTTATGTAATCTTAGAATAACGACAACGAGACAGCATTGCACTGTGCAGCTCAGTATGGCCATACCGAAGTGGTGAAGGTTCTTCTGGAGGAGTTGACTGATCCTACTATGCGCAATAACAAATTTGAGACTCCTCTCGATTTAGCTGCTCTCTATGGGAGACTAGAGGTTGTGAAGATGTTGCTTAATGCTCATCCCAATCTATTAAGTTGCAATACTAAGAAACACACTCCCTTACATCTCGCAGCTAGAAATGGCCATAAAGCTGTTGTTCATGTACTGCTGGAGGCTGGCATGGATAACAACTACCAGGTATTTGTTTAAATTTATGCGTGCAGAGTTTCAGTATTAAAATAATGTTTCAGGATCAGATTGCGTATAACACAGCTCCCTTTTCTATAAGAACCTTTCTAATCGCTGCTTCACTGTTTAAGTTTGAAATTTAATAGAATTATGCTTTGAAATTGTTTCAAGTACAGCAGCTAATTGTCAGCTAGAGAATTTGTGGTGCTTGAATCCTATATTTTCAACTGGATATTGTCTTTTTTGTTTCAAAGTCAAAGGGAAATACAGAGGGCTTTTTATTAGTTGTAATTTCTTATTGATTTATTAGAGTGATCAGCCTGTATTTTTAAAGAAGCTGATATTTAAATTGGAATAAATGGCAACAAATAGCTTCTGTTTTATTGTTTTCTGATGGCATTCTCAATCCATGCTTGTTTTATAGACAGAAAAAGGCAGTGCTTTACATGAAGCTGCTTTGTTTGGCAAAACAGATGTGGTACAGATATTGCTAGCGGCAGGTAAGGATCTTTTAAACATATTTATGGATTTCCTTTTTTGGTGGTAGTCTTAGCGTTGTAAGCATTCAATAGCCTTAAACGTAGTTCTTGAAAATGAGCAGTATAATTTAATTTGAATCTTTCACCCTCATTTTTAAACTGCTCCTTCAAACTAAAGCCTCATGAAATTTTTAGTATAAACTAGGATAATTAACAAGAGCTAAGCAGGAATTGCTAAGCCTCTAATTTGATTTTGGAGATCAGGAGGTATTGCCCTTCTGAAGTTATTTGCTTTCATCACAATTGAATTGTAAAATATAATTTAACATATATGTATTGCTTTATTATTTTAAGTATTCCTATTCTGCTTCATTTGAGTATAGGCTTATCAGCTTCTTATTAAAAATACAATAAAATAAACTTGTCTTAAAATTATATTAAAATAAAATATAATGAAAATAAAAGCACATCTCAAATTAAAATCTTCTAATATTAAGGGCCTTCATATAGCATAAGGTCAGCTTTAAGCAATAATAATAATCAGTGAACATAAATGTAGGGCCAAAGTGTATATTTAGGAGGAGGAAGTGATTAAGGCCAAATTACATTTGTAACACGTTTTGCTGTGCGAGTATATGCAACATTTCTGAATTACTGTGTATAATGTCAAGTTTCTCTCTGTGTTGAAGGCATTGATGTGAATATAAAGGACAACAGAGGCTTGACTGCTTTGGAGATTGTCAGAGAACTTCCTTCTCAAAAAAGCCAACAAATAGCAGCTTTCATTGAAGGTAAATAATTAAACATAAAAAAGAGGGCAAAAGTGGAGAAATAGGAAGCACACTAACATCACACACTAACAGCCATAAAATGTGTGGGTTGTTTTTCAGTTAGGCAATTTCTAAAAGGCCTACATTACTCAATTAACTACATTGTGGATACAAAGAAAACTAGATTGAGCAAAAAAGATGTTTGACCTTGTTTTTGTAACTTCCTGAAAATACGGTATTAAATGAATAATTTCCTGGTTTTTACTCATTTTGATAATAGTCTCCTCAGCATTGAATTTTTATCCCATTTCAAATTAGTTATGAATGTAATGCATGCCTTGCTTATTTTTGAGATTTATACCCTCCAGGTCAGACACTTTGACAGTCATTATATTGCAAGATGCACAATAGCATTAAGTAGGCAGAGGAAGAAAAGTAAAATAGACCATTTTCCAGCCATAAATTGTTTGCAGATTAATTCAATGCATCAATAGGTGGGGTTTTTAGATAGGGTCATTTTTAATGATGGACTAGTGAAAGAACAGAGCAAAAGCATTGAGATACAAAACTGGGAATCACACAGAGAAGGTTCTTCCCTGTTGGCCATTTAATGCGATTGTGGAAGTGGCCTTCACTAACATTTGCATGAGAAAAAGAAGAAGTCTTACATTTGGAGAGAGTACAGAGGACAGATTTAATATTATATAAATCCAGTGTCAGCATGCCAAAAAGGGGTTAGCAGAAGCAGGGTTTCCCTCCCCCCCCCACAATTTCCTTCCCTTCCACTGTCCATTTACTTTAACAAGGCCCTCCTGAATGGAGTGAACTAAAGGAAATTGGAAATCTATGAAGATTGGATAGAGTCATGATCCATTAAAAAAAAGAAGGTAGTCCGCAACTTAAGGCCATTCGTTCAGTGATCATTCGAAATTATAAACATTCCTTGACAGAAGATACAGCAGTTGCAGTGCCCTGTGATCATGTTAGCAAAATTTTAGCACATACTATCCCTATGACTGCTGAAAACCCCTTCCCCCCACTCACCTATCTCTCCCTCATCTCAGTGGCGCATTTGGTCCACTAGCGCACACAAAATTGTTGCAACCCTGGAGGCCTCAGCCTGCCCACTTCTCCCAACCCACCATACCCAGATCCGCTTTCCTTTGCCTTTTTGCGAAGATACTGTCAGGTGTGCCAAGCCAATGCGAGTCTCATCAGACAGCTAGTGAACATGTTGTTTCTGAAGGCTATAAAAGCCAGAAAGAGCCTTTCTAACTTTTAGAAACATCATGTTTGCTAGACTAGAAAGCTAGTGACCATGATGTTTTTGAAGGGTAGGAACAGGCTGGTCCTTTTCCAGTGATTGTTCTGAAGGCTATGAAGACCCTCCTTCTAGCCTTTAGAAACATCCCGTTTCCTAACTGTCTGGCTACACCTTTGCAGCATGTTTGCCTTTCTACCCTTCAGAAACATTGTATTCCTGGCAAGAAAGCTGGCAAACAGGATGTTTCTGAAGGGTAGAAAGGCCGGCCTTTCTGAGTTTCAGAAAAGATTGTGTTTGTTATCATTCTAGCCAAAAAGCTAGGAAGGACTGCCTATATTACCGAAATGACAACATTGTATTCACCCATAATAAACATGCAGAACGTATCCAAATATATGAAAAGTAGATTACTGTATTTTGTTTTTTTAAGATTTCAGGTAGCAAATATCTTACATGGCACCTTATTTCTGTTGTTCCTTTACTCATTTTATTTGTTCAGACTGTACAACAAGAAAGAATCTTGTAATAACAGAAGAGAAGACATCACCGCCTTTAACTGCTTCTATTGAAACCTCAGTTCGGATGCCTCAAGGTAAAATATGAAATGTATTAAATTATTTATTTAATAGTAATTGTATTAAAAATTACAGCTACAACAATGAAAAACCAATATAAACTAAAACAAAGTGCAGGAGAAAAAAAGAAAATAGACTGGATAGAAAGGAAGGAAAAATAAGAATATAGTAAAAAAAAGGAAATATAAAGAAATTATTTATGCTTTCCCCACAAGTATAAACAATTATCACCTTTTCTTAAAATACCACAAATGTTCTCTTCTTTCCATAGCTTGGCTCTTATCTACAACTAGTTCCTTAAAAACGTCATTTCAGTTCAGATAAACTCTCACTATTGAAAAGACTAATAGTACTGTTTATACTTGAGCTGATTTTGGATTATAAAGAACATTCTGGAATGGCTTCTACAATATTCCTACATCATATCTTTCAAGAATTTAAAACAGATATTAAAAATAATGCGATAGAAGATTTTTTAAAAATCTAGTGTATTTCATTGGTGATCTACAGGGGTCAAGTACTAGTTTTCTCCCCCCTCCCCCCATATCCCCTCATCAAAAAAACTGCAGATGTGAACAAAATATATGATGACTCCAGTTCCCAATGAATATGCAAAGGTGATAATATGAATTAGAAAGTTATGGAAATAATGGAATCCACCTTTTATGCCTCCGGGATAGTTTTATGTCTCTGGAATGTAGCCAGGGTTTCGAAAAACAGAGTTTGTGAATAGGGTCACTTCAGCGAGTGAAGCTGTTTCTGATTTAACATGTTTTCTTTCTTTAGGGAATGTGGAGAAAGCAGTGACAGACTTGATAACAGATGTTGATGGCAAGCCAGAAGAGTGTCCATATGAAGTACTGTACAATGCAACCTCCTGTCATTCCTTGGACAGCCTTGCCAGTGGAAGATCCTCAGACAGAGATTCAGTGAACAGGGAAGCCGAGATGACTGGTATTAAAGTGACAGCAGTGAGACCTGTATGTAGCCTGATGTGTGTTGTCTTTTTGTTTTTATGGAAAATAGGTTGGGATATAACAGCAGGTCTCCAAATAGGTGTACAGTTTGAAGTGATAGTAAATAATTGTTAAGGACTTTGGTTACTCACTATCTGGAGGCCATTTGCCCTGTTACAAAATTCTCTCAAGAATTATTCCAAGTTCACAATGTGATGGCTATTTGAATTAGGATGAATTTCTACCACTATATATTTTGCTAGGGAATGTAGCTCAGTTTAACCATTCAGGAGCAAGGGGGCGGGGGGGGGGGGAACTTGTCTAGAATGTGACTTTCCTCTGAACATTTTTTTATCCAGCTTTCTTCCGATTAAAAATCACTCTACCGTAATAATCCTGAATACTAGGTTTGTTTGCCCTGTTTTACTATATTAATTGGCCAGCAAATCAGTTTGTCATGGAATTTATGGATTTAATCCAGCAGGGGGAGCTTGGAGGCTTTGTAGGCTAATTAAAATAGCTTAAGTTAGTTTTTCTGAAAGCAGTCAGCTTTATTTAAATCCACTAGACTTGGTAAGAACAATATTGGATTTGAGCACACTATGGAGTATTTATTGCACATTGAAATAAGGATGGTTGCAGTTTATTATAAATATTCAAAGTTAAACATGACTTTGTACATGCAGCCCACAATATATGCAGATTTATTTTGAAGTTATCTGTGGTTGGCATTTACTAGATCAGAGATAGGAGAGCCAGTTAAGGCACTGGAGCAGGAGTGAGGAGATTACTTTTCCCTTAAGGACAGAAGCCAATTGGGTGACCTTGGCCTGCTCACCTCCTCTCAACCGAAATCAGTGTCAGGCTGTCTGAAAATCATTTGGTATGCTTCACACTTAGGACTTGGTGAGTACAGTGCAAAAACTCAGCAACTATGTGAGAAAAATGCTAAGAAGACAACAGCTAGATCAGTGATAGATAAAAACTGATTTTTCAAAGACAGTACAGGCATTCCTCATTTTATTGTGCTTTGATTTATTGCATTTCATAGATACATTGGGAAACCAAAACATTGGTGTGACTTGCTTTACTTCAATAATTGCTTTATTGAAATTGTTCTAGATCTGAGCCCTCAATATATCTGAGGCATGCCTATATTTTGTATTTTTAAGAATATTTTAATGTTAACCAATTGTGTGTAAGTGTAAAGTTGATCACCCTATATTTTATATTCTGTGTTTACATCATTTAATTTAAATTATTTAATTCTAACAGGAAGTCATATTTTATTGGGAATGTAACATTGGATATGTCCAATACTGTTATATCTATTTATAAGTGAAATATGAAGAGAATTTATTGAATGTGAGAAGAAATACTTAACGGGACATGTTTACTATTTATCTCTCCATAGCAGCATAGAAAATGTGAATCCAGAATGAGAGATTTGTTAAATAAATTCTGGCTTCAGTATTCCATTATAAAAATCCTTCATTTGGTCAATGTAGGCTATGATTATAGAGATTTGTTTCTTTGGCTAGTACCACTTGGTTTCCAGATTGAAGTCTGATATTCAAGTCTGGCTTCTATGTATGTATGTATTATGTATGTATGTATGCATGAATGTATATGTATATATATGCCTTTGTTTTAGAAGTACATTTGAAAATTGAAACAGTTAATGAAACAGATTTAAAGATAAATATGTTTTTATGTATGCCATATGTGAACATATAAGCAGCTTTTAAAGTGTCTTCTGAGATCAGTAACCCAATATTAACAATACTGATTGATTAACTGATTAATTGATTATGTACCATCAAGTCAGTGTCAAATCTTTGCAACCACATAGATTTTTCTATGTGACAAACTAACTTGGTCTTTCAATGGTGGACCCTTCTTCGCTGTAACTTGCTCCTAGTCATCTTTTTCTTATCTTTCCTTGTACCTTTCCCAGCATTAAAACTTTTTTTAGAGAGCCCAGTCTTCACATAAAGTATCCAAAGTAGCATAATATGAGCCTGACCATTGTCCCTCAAGTGAGAACTTGGGGTTGATTTGTTTGAGTTTTTTGAATGTTGATGGTAATCTCACGAGTCTACTCAACATCAAAATTCAAATGCATTGATTTTCTTCCTATCCTGCTTCTTCAATGTCCAACTTTTTTCTTCTTCTGTAGAGTATTACAGGGAATACCATTGCTTGTATGATTCTGAATTTTGTAGGTACAGATATATTATGGCATCAGAATATTTTTTCTAAAGCTTTTGTGGTTGCTTTATCTAGCACTGCCTACCAAGTCTGTGAAATATTTATTGAATGAAAATTATGCCAATTTTGTTATTAGAGAAGTTGCATATCAAATAGTTAGGTCATCTGTGTGGTCCACAGAGTCCAAGGCAAGCAATGTACGCAATGCAAACTGTCCACTTTTGTATTTTATTGTGACATTGCATGTAAGAAGGTGAGGCACAGTTTGTATCCTGAGGCCACATCACGTGTTTCATCATTTTGATGAATTTGCTTATTTGCTTTGCTGCTGTAAATATGTTAAGGTTGCATCAAAAATAAATTTGAAATGAGGCATTGATGACTATTTTTTCAAAATTGTAGAGAGAGCGTCCACCACCTCCTGCAAAACCACCCCCTGATGAAGAAGAGGAACATGAAGATAAAAAACATGATGCATCCTCAGTGGTAAACATATGTCCTCCTTGATGTTAATGATATGGAGGGAATGTCAACACATTAATATATTTAGAGGGTAATGTGACATTTATAAAAAAATATTTATTAATAGTTTTAACTGCCTTATCAGCAGGCTTTTTTCAGGATTTTTTGCCATGGTCTGGTTTCCATCTGGCAGTCCTTTAGAGTATTTTCAATCGATATGTATGGATACTCTGTGCGATTCAAATATTGTTGCCACCAGTTTGGTGGGTGTGGTTTGGTGGGTGCGCTTTGCACGCGAGCACACACTTTGCGCATGTGCGCACACCAAACGCACACTTTGCGCAGGCGCAGAGGTGTTTGCGCAGGCGCAAAAGCATTCTACCTCACCTCCTGCAAGCCTACACGATCTCCCGATCGTTTCAGCAGCTGCTGCGCATCACTGTTCTGTGCTGCGTAAAGCAGCTGCACTTCAAATTCAGTGGATAAAGGTGAGTATGGGAGCCCGGCTGGGCAGGCGGGCCCAACAGCAGAACCATTAGAGCAGCAGAGAGAACTGGTTCGGTCTCCGCTGCTCATCGCTCCTACCGGCTCTCCAAAACCGGGCAGAAGCGGTCGAATACCACCACTATTCTGTACGTATCTAGTATTACTCTGTAAAGTGGAGAATTTTCAGTTGATAGGTAAATATGTGTTATTTAAATTGTTCTTCATTTTTTATTTGCTAGAAAAATCTCCTTTTGAGAAAAAGTGCTTTTTTCACAATGAAACAAATTGTTTAATTAATTAATAATAAGAAATAGAATTATTATTAATTTATGCCTGTGTCTGATTAGGGTTTGGTCGCCAAGAGAAAAAGTAGAGGGAGCACAGCTGATGAAGAAGAAGAACATCCTTATGAACTCTTGCTAACAGCAGAAACAAAGAAACATGTTACAGTAGATAAAAAAACAAAAGGTAAAGACTGTTATTGCAAATTGTACATAACTAGCTATCCCCAAAACTAATTTTGGCCAGAAGGTGAGAAACTGAAACAGTTACAGCTTTTGAGTTAAAGGGATTGACTTGTTTTGTATGCCCACCTAGCAATTTATTTTCATAAGACTTTGATTAAAATATTTTTGCTTTGGTAGCTTCCTGATAACAGAAAACGACTCAAACTTTTGTTGTATGTTTATTGTAGAAAACCAAGCAGTCTATGGTTAATGTATCCATGGTATTTTGCAAAACACTTCAACTATTTTGGAAATGCCTCCTTGCTCTCCCAAATTGTGTGTTCCTGCACATACACTTTGCTCTCTTCATTTAGCACAGTTTCTAGCAAATTCATTCAAATGTGTCACTTACTGACCTAGTTAAAGTGTCCATTGTCCTCTCATATTAATGAATTCTCACATCTGTAAGAGCCAGCTAATGTGTTTTGTTTGTAAAACAATTTTAGTTCTTTGCAAATTATATTTTAAAGGCTGATTTGAGGATCCTTCATATGTTCATTTTCCAAGCATGAATTCATACTGTAATAGAAAAAGGTTTGATTGTTTCTATTCTTCTTATACATACTAATGGTTTCTCAATATTCTGATAAAGGTAGAATTTATAATGAGAGCTATTGCTGTTGAAAAGGTAGCACATTAGATTTTGTGCATTTTGACTTGAAATTAGTTCCATTGTATTGTCAGGTATAGATATTAGGCATAACATTCTTTTTAATTTTTTTTCATATGAAAATTATTAAGTCATACCAATTTTCTCTATTGTAATAGTTGATTTCAGTGGATTTTGTACAATATTTCTTAAGTAGCTTTAGAGAGAAATGCCTACTTAGTTTAATATTTTCTCCAGGAGAAACTCAGTAATTGTATAGCTTTTCTAACTTCTTTAGTTCATAAGTATATGACTTCAATAAGCAATTGCAATACTAAATAATGAGAATTAAATGAATCTCTTAAATAGAACATTTATGATCTGCTTCATAAAAATAGCATGACTTCGGAATCATACATCCTCATTTATTAAAAAGAGCATTATGTGAACAGTAGGAGAAAATAATCAAATTTGGAGGATTCCCATCTAATTTTAAATCATACTTCAATATTGTAAAAATGAGCTACAGCAAGGCTTCAGTTCTCATGATTTCTCATTCTCCCCCATAATTACAATATTTTATTATCTGGAGCTTAGTTCTAAACTATAGCTAAAATTTTACTGTTTTGAGATGTTCATTTGACAAATGAAAGGTCTTTTTCCAATCTCTATGCATCGCACATACCAATTATGCACATTTTTACAATCATCAGTGGAAACTTTTTGAACTTAAGTAGTTTTTTTTTTAACAGGAAGTGCTCTCTCCAGTGTGCATGTTCCTAAGTATGATTTTTCACCTATTCTCATAGTTTCTTTTACACTACACAGAAAAAGCAACAACATCCTTCTCCACATTCGTTTGTTTAGTTGAAGACAAAAGTCCTGGGTTTCTTTTTTTCTGCATGTGTCTTCTTCATCTGCACTTCTCATTTTGAGAGAAATTCTATTCCAAAAAAGTTGGGTGAAAAAGGTAATTTAGAAATTAGCTTACACTTCCCCAAATAGATTGTACACTGCACAAGTTCCATTTTGCAAGCGTTCAAATTGCCCAAAATATATTATTTCTGTCTAACATGCTTCGAAGAAAGCCATATTATTGAGAACTGCCTTTGTTTCCAAAAATTCATCAAACTGACTACCTGCATTTTTCCTACCTGCATTTACCATTGCATCTTCAGTTACTGCTAAATCAGTACTGCCAGTTTTTAAGAACGTTTCCCAGCATGTTGTTCTTTGCAACTGTTCTTAAAACCCTCTGATCTCAGCTCCTCAAAAAATACTAGTACTAATTGTTCATGACCTAGCAAATGTGATAACCTCAGAAACATCAGCAGTTTTGTCGTCTGATAATGGTCTTCAGATTCCAGTACTTCCAGCGCTTCTTTATCGTCGTCCCTATAAATAAAAATTCACATCATGCACTTCTTCTTTGAAATTTTCTAGGAACTTAGATTTTTTTTCATTGGAGTCCTACTCCATGCAACATAATAGTATCTAATATAATTTATTAAATTTTGAGGCCACACAACTCCAAAAAAATCTCTCCGTGGCTTACAATGTTTAAAATACATAACTTAAGAAACATGACCACCCAAAACTAATTGTGGCTTCTCCTATTTCCTCAGTTTTTCCTGCCATAGTGCTGGCTTCTAAAAAGTTATTACTATTGATGCCTTGCAGCAGAAGTGCTTGATTCTGAAGGCACCATTTCATTAGTATATGCATTTCAGCAGTATATAACATCCATCAGATCTGTTACTTCCTGTGCATTTGGAGCGTTATGAACAGTTGTATCATTGATATTTGTTCCCATTCTCGAGCTTTCACTGAACAGCAAAGAACAGATTGTCCTGATTTTAGGTTTCAGTCTGGGAACAAGCCTCTTAAGAAAGCAATTAAGCGTCAAAGACCTGTTTCACTCTATATTGTCTCCATTTATAAATAAAAGGTTTGGAACAAAAATTTATTTAAATGTTCATTATGGAGGAGATCTGGAAAAAAAGTGGAGCCTCTAGTATAATGGCTGTCCCAAGATAATTCCAGGTTCAATTGACCAAAAGATGATGGATCAGTTTTGAGCTCTTGAGTCCCATCTTAGTGATATCATTGAGTCCAAATGAACAACAACAAAAGGACAAAACCATAATACAGGATAATCTTAATTCTTCTTTTCTTGTTCTCCACTCAGAAGTTCAGGACCAATTGAAAATTCTGTGGCCATAATTTTAACACCACTCCAATGCTGATCTCTTTGATCTAGTGGAAAAATTATCAGTGCTGGAATTATACACACTGAAATATATATCAGTAAGAGATCATTCAAACTAATACAATTTATTTTAAAGGACAAGATTAGAGACAAGTTAATTGCTTTGCAGTCACATTATTTCAGAGAAATAGTGTCCTCACCAGCTTGTTTTAGTGGGGAGGTTCTTCCTCAGTTCCAGATTCTTGTACCTGCTCTTAAAATTCTGTGACTTATAAATTGGCAGGCACTAAATTATCAATGGTTAACTCTCTCTTTCCCAGCGCAAGCACACTGAAGTAATAGTCACAATCCTTCTTGCCCTTGCAGCTTGCTGCTCCTAAATGCATATAATTCATTAACTGTAATATTACATTAGTTATAATAAGATCTTATAATAACTCCCTAACTATAACCTATCATCCATCCTCCCTTCTCTGCATTGTAATTCTCTTTGCAAAGTAAGCTGCAAAATGAGTGACAGGTCAGATGTTCCAAACTTTCCTCATGATGCCCTCCAGACATGATTACTCTTCTTTTGAAAGGCAAGCATTAAAAAGGCAGAAAGAATACTCGGGCTTCATGTAGGACTCTGAAACACTGTGTTGCTTTTGCATTCAGTTTACTATTGCACTTTATTAGTAAGCATACTTCAAAATGATTTGAGAAAAATGCACTCTGTGATGGCCCTCCATCCGAGAAGAGTCACACTCCACATTTTGAGTAATATGGTAGAGGCATTGTCCCAGCTTTGCAGCAGATAGTAGAGTCTCACCTTTGGCTTTCTGATTCCCAATGAATGACCATTACTGATACTCCCACCATCTTCTGGGATTCAATTGTAGGTAGCCATATTTTCTTTGGAGATATAAATTGATGCTGCTGCTTCCGCATCCAGGAAGGCTCACCAACACAGTCATCCGATGCAGAGTTCGGAGCAGGAAGTAGCATTTTTTCAGTACTAGCAGGTTATGTTTTCTTGATGCTAGAACCTTCAGCCTTATGATTGAGAAACAGACAAAATTGCTTTAAGGTCTTGTTTTCAGTACTGCTCAAACATGATATAGCTACTGTGTTCATTCCTGTGCATTATTCTTTGGCCTCCAAACATGTTTTATCAAGTCAAAGATTGTTAATACTTTTGATATATCGTAGCCCCTTTTCTCTCTTAATCTTGGCACTATGGAAAAATGTTTTCAATACTGGTCCTATGGAAAAGTGCATTCTGCACCAGTAGATAAGGAATAGTAGAAGCATGAATCATAAATAAAGGTTTTATTACTCCAGAGCTTTAATTCTCTACATTTCCAGTTACTGAGAATGGCTGGTAAAGTACTGGCACTTTTTAGGTGAGGAAGAACTGTCTCCAGTGCCTTATATCTCAAAAGATGATAGGAAAATGATCTTTCAGAAGGAAAAGAACAGCAAATCAATATTTCCAGATATGGTAGAGTTGTCATGGAACAAGTATTATGACTATATGGGGCACCTTTAAGGAGATATAAATTTCATACCTTCCGGTCTGAACTATGAAGTCATGGTCAAGACTGAAAATTTCCTATTTGAACTGTGAAGGCTTGTTTAATGAGAATAAATCATGACAGCCCGAATGAGGTCCAGAAGCACAGGGCTGCAGTAAAAATAATGGACCTTTACTTACATCAGCAGTAGTGTTTCTGATTTCAACATAGAAAATGAAATTCCACAGTTCAGCACTGCTTGCTTGGCTATCTAGAGTGCATCTTGTCTCAAGCTCCAAGGTTATAATTCTTCCTTAAAGATTGGACACACAGTTCTGAAGATACCCATTGTGCCAGTTCCTTTAATTTTAAGGATACTGTAGCGTGTCTTGCTTTTAACAGTAATTAGCTAAAGACAGATTTGTATTGCAAATATTAAAAAATATTTTTATTTTTAACTTCTCAGGTGAATCATCTTTAGGTGCTACCTGCAGTGTCCAGCCACAGGTAAGACAGATATAATTTTAGTATAGATTATATCCAATATGCCAATAGATGTTCACTCATACCTAGGAACTTTCTCTTCTTCTCCTTCCTCTGTCACTCCTCCTTAAGTCTGCTATGGATGGACTTAGCTTCTGGAGTGTATTTGAGAAGTATGTGGAGAAGAAAACTCTGTTCTGCTGAGGACTGTCATTGTAAAAGTGGACTTGACACTATTTGAAACTATTGCATGCAACAGTGCACATATATACAATACAACAGATACATGTTGTGTATGAGTGAAAACATTTTAAGCTGTAGAAAAGCCATTTAAAAACTATCAGACAGTGCAATATTTATCAGAAGTTTCAAGTTCAAGGCTCCTCTAGAATAGTCAAAACATCCTGTTTTGAATTTGAGACAGCTGGTTGCTGTTGAAACAGGGTGTTTTCAATTCAAGACAGTTCAGATGCAGCATGGTTTAAATTGAAAACATTTTTGCAAAATCCTACTGAGATCTATCAAGGTATATGTTTTCATTTCCTACATTTTATAGCAAACATTGAAACAGAACTGAAATTGTTTAATGCTAAATAACAGTAAAATGATAAAAGGAAAATTCTAATTAAGAAAAATTGAACACCATACAGTGAATCAGGAGTTTATGTGCTGTGAGAGTATCTTAGCAGCATTTGGGACATATGATTTATTAATAGAGAGGCGCTGTGCTACTGAGGAAATAAGCTCCATTTTTATGCATTTACACTATATGTTAAAATTCTATGTAAGTCTACATAATTAGCAAAATGACTGATGTTTCTTTTTTTGTTCCTCTCTCGGTTTGTTAGCTATGCCATTATTGTTCTGTCTTGTGCTGTTTATTTGGGATGGGTGGGTGGAAGACTTGTTTTTTGTATTGATTTATGTTCTTAATTATAAACTGCCCAGAATCATTGAGAGTTGAGTGGCATACAAATTTAATAGGTTACACAGTCAACCAGATGTTTAGATATAATAGAATAACATAGTTAGAAGGGACCTTGGAGGTCTTCTAGTCCAGCCTCCTGCTTAGGCAGGAGGCCCTGTTGATATGCTATGATGATGATAATGATGATACAAATATCAACTGTAGTAAGTATCTAGACTAGGCCTGCACAATTTGTAGAAGGGAAAAGGCTATATCAAAAAATTAAAAATAATTGTGGCTGCAAAAACTACCTTTGACTACAGGTCAACTGCCTTGTGGCAGTGGCAGTGCTGTAGCTGGAAGCCTCCATGCCTTATGAAGTGGCAACAGTGGTTATGTTTGGTGGCAATGAATTTGAGTTTCTGAAAAATTCCAGAGGCCACAAAAGGCTGTTTGATGGACTGTATGCAGGCCATGGGCCATGTGTTTTGCAGGTTTGAGCTAGAATTTCTGATTGAAGTAGTATATAGCTAAAATCATTGGTTGCTTTTGGTTTATATCTAAGGGAAAAAAATTCAAAAGTCATATAGATATTTAATTATTCTTTTTTAAAAATAGAATGATTTATTTTAAATGTATTTGTCAAATATTTTTATGATACAGGTATAGTGAAGTGGAATTAGTTGTTGCCACCAAGAATTTGATTCAACAAATAATATAAGTAGTAGAGTTTTCCTATCAGTTCAAATTCAAAAATTGTATCTGATATTTAGATTTTGTATTCTGTTAAAAATTCTGATACAATCAGTACTTGCATTTCAAAACGAACTTGTCAAAGATTAAGGGTTCAATATTCCATGAAAGTATTTTCTTTTTTCCCTAACTTTGTTTAAAATCTAGCAATTTCCCATCATTTCTAGGTAACATGGTCAGTGCAGAGGAATGACTGTAGTTGTATCAAAATATTGTTACCAAAACACCCAGTTGAGATCAACCTATTATTTCTGATTGGGTTTTTTGCACATTTAAATATTGCCATTTGTCAAAGTTTGTACTAAACATTTGAAAATATTTGGAAGCATGATACTTAAAGTAAAGAGGCATATGCAATTATGCTTAACTTACCTAATTTTTATAAAGGTTAACATTTGCTAAATCATAACTAATAAAATTAATTACATTGTACATAATTCTTTGCAGGTATGGTCACGAAAAGGTCTATCTTCTCAGGATGGTCAGTGGCCACTAAATTGCCAAGCTTCTTGTGATTTTTCTTCTGGCCATTCTGAACAATATCCAAGTCCTGAATCTCAGTTGGTTGAGATGCCAAAAGGTAGGTAATAATTCTGAGTCATCCCAACTTCATAGAAACCTATTAAAAATGATATTTGTTTTTTTAACATATGCAAGAATCCTTTGATCTAACTAGCATGACAAAAAACAAAATTCAAATGTCTCTTATAGGACTTTGCTCATGCTGGGAGATATTTTTTTGTTTGTTGTTTTGCTTTCGGGAGATTGGGAAATACATCCACAGTTTCATTGCAACAGTGACTGCTTTGTTGTGCTTCATAGCTGCCTTTGAAAGAATGAAATGTTTCACTGTGTGATACAAACTGTCAGCTGCTTTTCCACCCTCTGATAGCAGTGTTGCAAAATGTTTATAGATGCCATATTGAGCATTTTGTGCAAACAGTAAAGTGTAGAGGCATTTTATTCATCTTTTTATATATGTTGCTATTAATATATTATCACAGCAAATCTATGAAAGCAGACAAGACTCTTCGACACTATACTTCCTCTGTAGACTTGTCATTTACACTTTGATGGGAAAGATTTGACAGTCAAAGGTGGCTTAGACTGATCCATTTCCTCTGCTACACGCATATCAAAATAAGAATCTCAATGTAAATCCAGTCTGCATGTAATTTTGTTCTGTAAAATGCTCTCAGACCAAAAAAGTCTTGTTCTTCATGATCTTGAATAAGAAAATAAACGCAAAAACATTTCTGGCACACATGCTTAAAATACTTTGTATCTCTGCAATAACTGATTTTATAAAATACATTTTCTTAGATACTAATTTTTAAGCTCAGAGTAAGAGCTGCCAATAAACACAATTTTGTCAAACCTCCTGTAGATGCCCTATAGAAAAAAATTCAACACAAAATTCAATATTAAGCTGTAGCTTAATATTTTAGAAAAGAGTAATGATTTACCCTTGTGAAAACTTTGTGGGATATATATCATGTTAAGTAGAAGCATAAAAAACCTGAGAAATGACTATATAAGGTGTCTCATTGAAAGAACCTTTCCTGATTTGTTCTGATTTCTTTGTACTGATTAATCAAAAAAGGTTCCAGTTGAGTCAGAGACAAGTACTTTCTGATTTGATTTAGGAATAATGAAGCACTACTGAAATCATTGCAAAATGTAATATAACTTTGGCCAAATAGAGCATACCATGGTAATTTTGGATTTGAAGTTAGGACCTTTCATATCTAAGTTTGTATGTCCAATCTAAGATAAGTACCATTAAAAAAAGCTTCATTTTCTGTTTCTCAGATATTCTCCAATGAGTAAAGTGCCATTGTGAAGAACTTAAATTGGATAACTTTGCTTTTATCAATATTAAATACTGGGCAATGCATTAATGATTGTTGTTCAGACTGGCTCTGTGCTATAAGCTTTTACATAATTTACATCAGTGAATTATTCATACTTTAATCAGGTTCTGATTTTTGATACAATATATTAAAGCATGAGTCTAGTTATAATGTTACCCCTCTGCTGCAATACATATTGCAAGCTGAAATTTACTGCAGCAGTAGAAGAGACCATTTTATGGAGTGAAATTAGTTAACTCGAAGTGAGACTTTAAAGGAATTATTGCTGTTGCAAAAGGAGGTGAGTTCAAGTCACCAGGGAAGGAAACAGCTGTTGGGTGGAGGGGGGAACGTGTTCATATTTGCAGGTTGTTTGCAGCTCATCTTTCCCCACCCAGCATTCTGTGCCAAGGAATAGGGAGTGTTGCTCTAAATAACACTTTGGCCTTTATGGAAATATGTTCCAAGAGACTCAGTCTCTCCCCTCCCCCCTTTGCTGGGTATAGTTAGCACTTCTCCAAACCTTATATAGCAAGGGCTGATTGTTAGTGTTAACAGGAATAAAATGAAACAGAGTGGGCTGCCAGATTGCATAAATCAGGCCACTGTCTAGAATTTCATAAATGCTCCAACTTTGGGTAAAATCTGAGTACTCTGAACAATGCTGTTCTTTCTTCTTTTCTTTCTCTCTCTCTCTCTCTGAGGGAGAAAAGCTAAAATCCTGTTTCTCTTGATCTTTATGTGTTGGGTTTTATTTTGGTGGGGTTTCGTACCCTTTTGAAGACCAAAAAAAGTTCAACAGAAGCCACAGCCAAGCAGATGTCCAAGATGCCCAGGTGCTGGATCAATTCTCAGGTCTTCTGCATGGTTCTTCTCCGGTGTGTGACATAAGTGAGGACCCTTTGAGACTCATTTCTGCTGTGGGCAAAGGAAGTACAGAGGGAACTGCTATGCAGCTGGAAAATGTTGAGGCTTCTGGATCGGTACAATCTAGTACTGTAGACCAAAATAAAGTGGTCTATTCAGCCATATGCCATATCCGTGACAAGTTGGATTCTGGAACTTTGGCGCATCCTCATTTGCCACAGCATCCCGGTAGTGCTGAGGATGGAGACAAGAGCAGTGTTGTAGGAAGAGTTCATCCAGGAAGCAAGTCCAAAGCAGACCTCAAACTTAGCCGTAGCTTATCAAAATCGGATTCTGACCTTTTGACCACCTCACCAACAGAGGACGATACTATGGGGAGCAGAAGTGAATCCCTTTCCAATTGTAGCACTGGGAAAAAAAGGCTGGAGAAATCACCTTCCTTTGCTTCCGAGTGGGATGAGGTAAGACCAAGCTGGATTTTGTTTTTAAAGTAAAATAAAAATTGCTGCAGGAATACCATGGTAAAAATGGATCAGGGATGAAAGAGTAGAAGCAGTAGTATTTATCCTAGTATCAAATTTGTTTGGTAGATAATTAAAATTACACCTATGAATTGAAGTCAGGTGTTTAATCTTGTGATGCAGAATTTAGGGAAAGTTTTAAAAGCATTCAGTGTTGTCTAAAATGGTATTATTCTATTCAGAAGCAGTTGTCACAGAATATGTTTGCATAGCATATTCTCTCTAGAATAGCTTGTGGGAAAAGATTAGGTCATATTATATATCTAGAGCTGCTTTATGTTAGTGAAAAGGCTTCAGTAAAGTCAGAGAATACCTGGATATTTTTGAACCCTCTCTTAAAATAGCTAATTCCTAAGATTAATAGGAAGTCAGCATAATATATGAGAAATCATTCCTTAATAGAACTTTGTTCTGATAAGTCAGCAGAGATTAAGTGCTGTTCTTCACTCTGACTTAAAACGAAGTTCCATGAGCATGCAAACTGCCTTTTATAGATCGGAAAATCTATTATTAAGCAGTTAAGACTTAGTTGGGGAAACATTATGCCATGCCAGGTCTAAAAAAATATTAAAGAAAATCCATTAGCAAACAAATTAGGGAGGTTAAATTGTGTGGATTATAAATTGAAAGTATGAAATCATTATTTTTGTTGTGTAGTGCTGGGATACTCAATTTTTAAAAGGTCTTTTGGAGTACTTGGGTACAAAATATTGCGATCTGCAACTCCTTAAAGTTGGGGCATCTTTTTGTAAAATTGCACAGCTGCTGTGCAGTCCTGGGAAAAGATGTATATATTTTAAGGTACACAGATGTTTCTTATGTGACCCTATATACTTCAGGGCCCTTTTGTGCAACAGAATCAAAACTATTGTACTAACTGCTATTTATTTAGAGTGCAGTGGTATTTCTTATGATAAAAACATTAAGCTTTGTACTAACTTGCAATTCTTATATAAAACGTATTTCTTCAAATATGTGGTGGTGTATACATCTAACCAGCTCAAGTGTTAGAAAGCCTGTTTCAAATTACTGAATAACATTAATTTCATGCTACAAGTTGTATGATTTGTGAATATCAGCAGTCTTGTTCTGGAAACTATTCCTTGCATTGTAGAAACAGTATTTCTGGTTACCTTGAGATTGTTACTAAACCCAGTCTAAAATGATCATTGTGATGAAATAAGTCTGCCAGAAAGGTATTTATTTTAAATACTTCAAGTTTTTTTATTCAAATTACTAAAGTGCTTATAGAATGCCCTTTTAATATTGCTATAATGCTTAGTCTGTTTCTTCCAAAAATTTTGCATATATTATCTTTAAAAAAATTGAGGAGGATCAGTAATTATATAGCCTAACAAAATAATTGCCTTTTGTTCCATTGGTATTTTGGTGATAACTTGAATTGTAACTTTATTTATGTAAATTATGTAAGTTTAATATTTGTATCCAAAAGTAAGCAGCAATACTAGAAGTGTAATGAATCATTAATCATTACTATTAAAATATTTTACTGTTCTTTGGGATACTTATAGAGTAGAACTTTTCTTTAATAACAAACTGCTTTTTCCTATCTTCTTAAGCCTCACTCCATCTCAGGAATAACTGTGACTTTATGAAATTTGAAATTGAATGCAAATTTAGTTGACTTTGTTATTAATAAAATAAATTAGGCATGAATTATTTTGAAACATTTTAACTGATTTATTGGAACCTAAAAATGGAAATAATAATGCAGAATTGTGCATTCTACTCAGAAGGAAGATATAATGGGATTGTGGAACTAAAATACAGATTTGGACAGGGGTGGGATACCACAGGATTAACTACCAGTTCGGGATTTACGAGCTTCCCTGCCTGCTGTGAGCCGTGTGCCTGTTAATCGTCATTAGCATGCTGCGTGCCGGGAAGCAGCCTTTGAAATAGCCCTCTTTTCTTGTTTTTTTAACTGCAGCTGTGCCTTGTTTGGCAGCTGAAGTTGAAAAATCAGAAAATAAAGATCAGGTAAGAGCCCAGGTGGGCGGGTGAGGAAAAACATCAGCAGACATAGAACCGATTCTATGTTTGCTGCTCTTCAGAGCTACCGGTTCTACGGAGGTGGACAGAACCGGTAGAAACCCACCCCTGGATTTGGAGAATGGTGTATTATTAATCTGGTTATAATGCAGTATTTGTATGGGTATCTGTAATAACTATAGAGTTCAGAAAAAAATATTTTATTTTTCTCTACAAGGCAAGGCAGTCAAGGGAGAGAAGTGTTTAAAAATAAAGATACAAAGAAAGTAACATAAAACAAAATAGAAATGTTCTATTTCTAAATGTTTTATGCATGAATTTTTGTGAAACATCTACTTTTAAGGGTGAAACGGGATGGTTCAAGAATTCTGGGGATGTCTCAAGTTTGAAATAAAGATATTTAAACTCTGAAACACTTTCAAAATGTGGGATGGCCTGTTTTGTACTCAAAACTGGGGGAATACAATGAAATTTTCACACTCCTAGAAGTTTTTTATATTGGTATTTATATATTTATACCAGTACGCCATTTATTATTTAGATTATATACAATTAACAGTTGCAAAATACAGCAATTAAAACAATATTATTTAAGCTCATAAGGTCCAGTAGAAAATCATAATTTTTATCGTCTTCCTATTAGCAAGATTTGGGGGCATTCTGACTTTAATAGGGTGGGCCAGAGTGGGGTGTTCACTTGGCAAAAGCGGAAAGTGGGACCAATCATTTCTAGGCTACAGGAGCCTAGAGTAATATGGGCTCCAGAGTGAGGAGTCTACAGCCAAGGCCGTCTAGTAACTCTCCACTCAAATCCTGGTGTATATAGAAAAATGCAACACATCCTCCTGACTAGCACTTATGGAGTGAGCAGATTCCAAGTGGTAGAAAATAAGAATCCATGTATTAGTTTATCTTAAAGCAAAGTGGGATCAATCAGTGTCTTCAAGCCTAGTGGTGTATAGCATTTCAGATATTGGGCTAGGACTAGGGAGACCAGATAAAGGATCCTCTGCCAAGAGCAATCACTGGATGATTTTGTGCCAAGCACTCATTCTCAGGCCAGCCTAATTTCCAAGGTTGTTTCTTAGAGGAAAAAAAGGGAGGATGGAGTACTATGTACACAACCTTGAGCTCATAAATAAATGAATAAATATTTTGGTCATACAACTTTGCAATTATATTGAATTAAACAATGTTCATGTAGCTATAAAATTAGTTATTTTTGTAATTTTCTCTTTAATTTGCTGTCACAAATGCTAGTTTTATTATAATTATTTAAAGTCTGAGATTCTGTAAAATTTCTCAGTTTGTTTCTATAACCTGATCTAGTAATTAGTGTCATGTAACTAGTCCATTGCTTTTTCATTACATATGGGTGGTAATGTCTAAGTACATGTTTGATTATTATAATGTCATTCATTTTTTCTTTTACCTGACAGAAAATACCTTAGAATTTTCTGTCAGGTAAAAGAAAAACATATGACATTATAATAATCAAACATGTACTTAGACATAACCACCCATATGTAATGAAAATAACTAATAAGATTTTAAATACATAAAACATGATTGCTATTTATTACTATAGGAGCAAATACACATTTTATTTCATCTTTGTCTAATGTGATTTCTTCAACATTTTTTTACTATTCTGTGACTCTATTTCTTGTTATTAAGATGCTAGGCTGGATCAGCCATGCTTAGATCAATCTCTTTTTCTGTTGATAGTCACATTCTCTTTCAAGTAATCAACAGTACTATGTAGCCACACGTGATGTTTCTTAAGCAAACTCTATTTAGGGCAAAACAAAAATATATTGTAAATATTATGTGTTGAATAATATTTGAGAATATAATTGTTAAGAATATAGTTGAACACCCACCACCCCAAATATTATAAGCCTAGATGTAAAGTACAAACCAATTCCAAATCAAGTGGGAAGGTGAAGCTCATTGTAGCTGTTCATTTTTCTTCTCTAGCAGAAGAAGCTACATTAGAATCAAAGATACTTTGTGTTGATGCTTTAAGTAAGATAGATGGAGTTGAACTGATTGTCAATAAGTTCCATTTTCAGCTAGTATTGTACAATTTCTCACGTTTTATTGAAGTTAGTATGTTGAATGGCATTTTCAATTATTTACAAATATAGAAATATGAAAGCACAAAGCAACACATTTGCTAAGAAAAGCTGCTTATTAGCTTATTTCACTGGAGAATAAATTAGAAGGAATGAACTTGTATGAGTTAGGCTGTGGATAGCATAAATATTTGAGTGCTTTTAAACATAGCTGAAGGCTAAAGTGGTAAATTTGTTTCTGTAATGTGTTTATAAATATTCAGTACTCCCCAAATCAATGTGCAGCACTCAAAGCACATTACATTTTACATAAAGCAGTTCTTGTTGTTCTTTTATTTTTATTTTTTGAAAATTTTATTTGGGTTTTCACAAAAACAAAATACAAATAAAACATCTTTGTTGAAAATAGCATGGTCCCAGGTTATCACTTCTTCATACAGACACAAAACTCAATTTCATGCTCATTTTTATATTCTATTCCATATCTTATTATCATTTTATATTTTCTACATAGTTTTTCCCCTCTTCTAATTTTCTCAACTTTGTTTTAGTTATTCCAATTCAAATCATTATATTTATACTCTTGTCTGTCCTGTTACAATTTCACATTATCTTTTCTTATTAAGCAATTTTTTCCCTGTAGTTACCAATTAGAGTGTGACACCTTTATATCCTTTAATTTTATCCATTCAAGCTCTTATTTAAGCTTCAGTGTATAGCTTTAAGATTATAGCATTCAATATAATACATAACTTCCAATCGAATTCTGCTTGGTACATTCTTAAAATAGATACTATATTCTTAAAAAGAAAAAATTATATATATATGTAAATAAAACACATTCCATTC